AATTTTAGATTTTGGATGAGATATTTTGACTTTATCAATACTAAACTCATAGATGAAAAATTTTAGGATGTGAGAATTAGAGGAGGTTTTCATGACATAGCCAGAACTGTGAAAAAAATTATGTCTAGTAAGTTATAAAGATTAATCTTGCTATATGACGACATATATTTAAATTATGTACCTATGTTTTGGATATATTCACTTAAGGAAGGTAGTATGACAAATACAAATATTCAAAAAATATGGTCAAGTGTCTGATTGTGTAATGATATTAGAGTTAACTTATAAGCTAAAAGTTAGATACTTAATTTTGTTTTATACTGCTATGCATGACTGATTGATTAATGATGTAGAACATGAAGGTGACGTGATGCTTATATGATTGATAAAAACACCTTTGTTGCCAAATCTCTATCACTATGAAAGATAAGGTTAGAGAAATATAAAAGTGAAGCCATGGAAGAACCACAAAAGTTATACAACTAATAAGACTAAATAAGGCATATTAGGATGGACATAGTAAAATTGGTAGCAAACATATGCATGATTGAAATTGGAACTAAAATGGAACACAAATTTCTCTTTGGGAATTAAAGGAAAATACATCCTTGAACAAAAAGGTAGTAGCAAGTATCCAACTAAAGAATTATCAATAAAACACTCTAAGTTAGTACATGAAACAACATTGGTTAGAGAATCAACGAACAACATAGCAACAAGGCCTTAGGCTTAACACCTCAAAACGATACACTAGATTAGATTTCTAATCATTGTTGTCAAAGTTAATGAGAACACAAACAAGTCTTGATTCTTTAGGTGTGTATAATTACTATCCTTAAGGACTTATTTGCGGTATATTTTACAAGGCTCCCAAGATACAACAGGAACTTACTCGATTTTTCGAGAGAAATTAGCAAAGAACTCTTAAAAGACTAAATAAACCCGAGATAAGAAGAGAATAAAAAGATGAGAAGAGAAGTAATAGAGAATGAATAATTGTGTTTTGGGGGAATCTAAGATGGTCTATTTATAGGTGTGGTATGGGTAAGAAAACTCATCTTCACAAAAGAGCAACATTCACATTGTTCAACTTCCTCACATCTTCGACAACTTCCCCTGCAACCCCAACAACGTTCATTAACTTCTCCCGCAACCCCAACCCCAACAACATTCATTAACTTCTACCGTAGCCCCAACCAACAACATTCAAATCTCAACCTCCCAGGGATTGTGGAACACGTCATGGGCAATGGAGCATATCACAGGCTAGTGGTTACACAGAGAGGGAGAAATTTTTGCAATACTCTGAATGTATAACAATCCCCCATATATTGCAAAATCACGTGAAAGATAAAAAAAAAAATCATGAGTTTCATATAAGATATAATGCATCAAAGTTTGTATAACAAGTTATATGAACCAAAATATTTAAGCATGTGTTAGCTATTTATCAATCACAATACACCCCCATAATTCTTGTTGTTATCGTTGTATTACGCTTACTAAGTCATGCATGTAACCAATATTCATGAGTACTCTAGAAATTTTGTCAAGATCTTATTCAAGCGACCCCACTTGACACTCATATAGGTGATTTCATCAAGCAATGCTTTAAATCATACACCATCTATAAGGATATGAAATCATTAAAAACTTTGTTTAGACTAAAATTCGTACACGATATAGAATTTTAGTTACAAAGTTTAACCTCTTAATAATGTTGTATCTAATACTTTCACACACCATAGGAATGAACACTATTGATTTTAAATCAATTTTAGTGTTAACAGAACTAACAAGTGACTTATTTATACCCATATGAACCTTATTCATAAGATCTTCAATCACAAAGGTTGAGTTACCATCACTTTTGTTTGCAAGTGGCTTGAGTCTCATTTCCCTTGATGTTTATAAAATCATGTGTCTCCCTAGGAGTTTTGTGAGAGGATTTGCTAGATTTTGTTACGATTTCATATAGTCAATGAAAATTATTCCACCCTTTAATATCTCTTTCACCAAATTGTGTCACAATTGTATATGTTTGTTTTTTTCATTGTAATTCTTATTTTTAGCTATGACTATTATCGATTGACAATCACAATGTATTGACACAGAAGGAGTTGGTTTTATTCCTCAGAATGTTTGCTAAGAAGTTTTTCAACTACTCAGCTTCACTTCCATCCATTTCAAAAGCATCAAACTCTGACTCCATTGTCGATCTTGCAATAATTGTTTGTCTAGCTGATCTACATGTAATTGCACTACCCCTAAGTGTAAATACATAATCTCTACTGAATTTTGTCTCATCTAAATCATATGAGAAATCCACTATATTCAATGACATAATCCATTGAATATCTTAAATACCGCATAATCTTGCAAGTGCATCCTAATGTTCTCGATTAGTACATTGAGTGTACTTACTTAATTTACCTACTACATAAGGAGTACCATATCTAAAAAAGCTTATTAAATGCAATAAGCTCCCAATTATATGGGCATACTGAGGTTGAGAAATAATATCTCCTCTATTTTTCTTTAATTTAGAGTTAACATCATAAGGGGTACTCACTAATTTGAAGTCATAATACTCAAACTTTCTAAGAAGATTTTCAATGTATTGTTCTTGAGATAGTAAAATATTATCTACTTTTCTTATGATTCTAACTCCCAAAATCATATTGGTTTCACTTATGTATTTCATTTCAAATTTAGATTCCAGAAACAACTTAGTTCTAGAGACTATATCAATGTATGTACAAAATATTAGCATATCGTCTACATATAAACAAATAATGACACATTCACCAATTTTAAATTTAAAGTACACACATTTATCAACATTAGTAGTTGAAAAGTCATCACAGAATATAATATTAACAAGTTTTTCATGTCATTATTTTGGTGTCTATTTTAATCCATATTGAGATTTTAAGAGTTTGCGCACTTTGTTCTATTGACCAAGAACAACACACCCTTTAGGTTGAGTCATAAATTTTCTCCTCAAATTCATCATTCAAAAAAGTTGTCTTAACATTTATTTGGTGTATAACTAGCTCATGGGTAGTTGTTAGAGCTACAAAACCTGAATAGAGGAAATCCTAGTTACCGGAGCAAATGTATTAAAATAATCAATGTTGGGTTTTCAAGTAAAATCTTTTACTACTAATCTTGTCTCATATTTATCTATGAATCCATCGGGATAATACTTTTTCTTAAAGATTCACTTACAACTAATGGATTTTGCTCCCTTAGGAAAATCTACTAAGGACCAAATATTATTTTTCTTGATTAAGTCAATTTCAGTCCTAATGGTCTTATCCCAATGTGTTGCATCAGGAGTTTCTAAAAAACTTGTTGGATCATTTCAACTAGATAAGTGAAAAAGTAATCTTCAAATGAGGTTTTCTTCTCCTCATTTCTCATACATGTCATCACTATTAACATCTATAGGTTGTTTAGGTATTTCACTGACCTTTAAAGAAAAAATATGTTCAATAAACTCAATATTTTTTTATCTTTATTATAGTATTATGCTCAATTATATCATTTTTAAGAACAAAAAACAGATAGACAACATTATGTTCCACGTAAACTAAGAACATATAATGAGAAGTTTTAGAATATATTTTTCTTAGTTATTTAAGATTATATTGACAACAATAACAGCTTTAAAGGAGCTATCGAATTGTTCGAATAACGACTTGTTATTACAATCTAAGAAAACAAACTCGTACGGTATAATACAATGAGTAGGGATGACAAAACAGGTCATCTCGTCCTGCTTTTGTCCCGTCAAAAGCGGGGCAGAACGGGCTAACCCACTATAGTCATGATAGACTACAGGTCTCGGTCCGCCACGCCAAAGGACGGGCTGACCAGTCATATTCCTTTTTTTATTTTATTTTATTATTTATAAATGAAATATTTCAATAAATTTAATAATAAAATTATCACTTCGTCAACAATTCAATATATATATATATATATATATATATATATATATCAAGCTAATAATATAAATTGATATATTATGTTAATAAATTATATTTTAGAACAATTAAATTAAGATAAAATTTATATAATAATAAATACATGTATGTAACGGTAAAATTTTTTGAATTCTCTTAATAATGAGATATTGATACTTTATGAATTCTCTTTATGACACTAAGACTTTTAAAATTCTCTTTTCATAAATCTTTATATTATATATTACCTTTCTGACTCTTTGTATTGTATCACAATAAAAAAAATTATTAATAAAGCGGGTCGCGGGTTGGTCCGCCCCGCCCCGCGGGTTGGTAGGCTTGGCAGGGCGGGCCAAAACAGGCTGGCGGGTCGGTCCGCCGGGTCTGACCCATTTTGTCATCCCTAACAACAAGGTTTATAAATGAAACAGTAATTAGCAAAAAATGTATATGTAAATGGCTAATGGGCTAGAGAATTGTGTAAAGAAAAATGTTTCATATCCATACTCATTATTCTCGAGGAAACTGAAAACTTGGTTTTTATCTCTCTTAGAGCAACTCCAATGCAGGGGGTGCTTCAAAGAAAATTTCAGTTGCTTCAAGCAACTATTACATTGGAGTAAATTAGGTGGCACATAGGATTGCTCCATCTCAACAGCAAAATGCTTGAAGAAGCAACCGTTGCTTCAAATAAAATATGATTATTTTCATTTTCTTCAGCATACAACAAATCAAATATAAACCGAAAAATATCAAACGTAGGAATGGGAATCATGAATCATTCATCATCAGAATCAATTTCAAAATCAATTTCAACAGTATGAACGATTTCAAAATCACAGTGAACAATTTCAAAATCAAATTCAAAATTATACTCACCAATTTCAGAATCACAGCGTGAACAATTTCATAATCAATTTCAAAATTATACTCACCAATTTCACAAAATGCAAGCACAGCGTGAATAATTTCAGCCAAGTGAAGGCACACCAAAACACGAAAAATGAGTTCTAGTTGAAGAAGTTGTCAATGAAAACCAAAACATACTCGATATTGATTTTGCCACCGTCAATATCCATGTTCATCGCCACATCAACGAGGCATGGAAACGGGGTGAAGAGGTTGAAGGCGATGAATGAGAAGAAAGGTTTTGCTAATGCGTTGGGAGAACGCATTCAGATTGCGTAGAGTGAGAGTGAACGAAGTTGAGAAGGTTGAATTGTGGAGTGTGCTGGGTTGTGGTTTGAGAAGTGAGAGAAGGGTTTGAAGGCAGTGGGTCTGTGGGGTTTCAAGGAGAGTGGATAAGGAGAGAGAAGAAGAGAGATGAAATCCATGGGAGGGAGATTTTGCAGAAACACACGATCGAGTAAGGCTTTGAAAAAGGATAGGGGAAGGGGTTAATATAAAAAAATCATTTGTGTAGTAGAATTGGAATAAGGGTGAGATTGAAAAAAGAAATTGAGTTGGGAGGAATTGGGGTAAGATTGAAAAAAAATTGACCATTAGGAGAAATTGACCATTGGGAGGAATTGTGTAGCCGTTACAACTTTTTATTTTTATTTTTTTACTATTTTTACACTATAAAATCTCTATTAATGGTAAATAAATTTCACATTTCTTTCATTTCATCATTTTTCTTCTTCTCCAATTATGGATCATAATCAATTTAATTATCAATATTATTATAATTTATTACAAAATCATTCATATGTTACCGGTGAAATTTCTCAAAATTCCCAAAATTATATTTATCCACCACCATTTTTTATGTTTCCACCACCTCCAATGACATCAAATATGAATAAAATTCCTCCATCATCCAACATAGAATTTCCTTCCCCGATCAGACTCGATAATATCCAACTTGATTGAAGCGGTGGAAATATGTCTCGAAGGAAACCTTGTGTACAATTCTCAATATCAGAAGATTTGAATCTTATTCGATCATGGTTGAACGTGGCGAAGGATCCAATTGTTAGAGTTGATCAGTCATTAACTCAATATTGGGAGTGGATCAGAGAAGCATACAACAATAACGACGAAGATAGCATTTTCACAAATAGGTCAGGGAGTCAATTAAAATCTCGATGGAGTAAACTTCACCCTGCATTTAAAAAGTTTAATGCATGTTATAAACAAGCTACCAATCAAAGGAAAAGTGGTTGGACTAAGAAAGATGTTATGTCATTCGCACATAAGATTTTCATAGAAGATTCAAAAGGGAAAAAATTTGAATTTGAATATGTTTGGTTGTTGTTAAGAGATGAACCAAAATGGGATACTACTTAGCAGATAATATTTATCTAGATTTTGTCACATTTGTGAAAATTATTTCAATGTCATAAGGGCAAAAGAGAAAATTATTTGCTCAACAACAAGAGTCAGCAAGAAAAGATATTGAAGGTGCATTTGGAGTCCTTCAATCTCGATTTGCAATTATACGTGGTCCGGCATGTTTTTGGGATGCTCATACATTGAATAACATAATTTATGTATGTATCATATTACACAATATGATTGTTGAGTATGAACGACACACTTATCAAAATCATATTGATTATGACATTGTGGAAAATGAGATGTCAACCATTGATATATCTTTAAGTCTTCATCCTAGTGTTAGATCTACATATTTTCAAAAAGAGAGTAGCAGTTCAAGATAGAAATACTCATGACCAACTTCAAGCAGATTTGATAAAACATATTTGACAAAAGTTTAAAGGAGAAAATAATAAAATTTAAATTTATGTATTATATTTTTAAGTATTGTTTGATTTTTATTATATTTATTTAAATATTATATATTTTTATATTATTTTTATATTGAAATAAGGTATTATATTATTAATTAAAGTATTTATTTATTTAATGTATATATTTATTTTTATAAAATATATTAAAATAATAAATTGTTAAGAATTGTTTAAAATTTTTATTATTATAATAAAATTAAATGAGAGTTGATTAATTATGATGTGTTAATATGAGACCTTATTTCCTTATTTTTCTTTTAGAGTGAAATACCTCTTTTAAAATTTATGGATCGGAGATGTTGTTATATTTTGTGGTCTCTCTGACCATTCTATCAGGACAGTCGTAACCTGCAGGTTCTGCCACCGGATTCATAGTTCTCTATCCAAAATACCACCTTGTCGTGTTGAGGTGGCAATGCACACAGCTGTCCTAAAATGGATCAAGTCTCAGCCCAAATCACAATGAGGCCTTACCAATTCATTGGAATTCCAACGAAGACATTCAAGTCAACTGGTCGTTTTTGGGTCCTCCATTGGGCATGGTTCAGTGCTCTAAAAATAATGTTTTTTTTTTTTTTACTCAAATTAAAGCTATTTGAGTTTAGAATCTAAAGCAACAAATTTCAGTTTAATTTGATATTTGTGAACAAAGTTATGAGAAAATCCTGTATTTTACATACGATTAAGTTTTTGACTTTCCAAAATAATACAAAATACTTTAAATTATTGCTATTTGACTCCAACCTATTCTAAAAAAAGTTGAGACATTTAAAATAGTAAAACATTTAGCAATTACCAGAGTACGAAAATTCTGAAATAAGGCTATGAAACATGTGTCTTAAGCTCCATTTATAGCATCTCCTAAATTTCTTAACAGTTACAAAAACTAAGATAATAATGAAAGATAAGACAAATAAAAATCTTAAAGAGGCGCAATGAGTCAGAATACGAAAATTGAGTTATCAATGATAAACAAATTTTATTAACTTATCATGAATTGTGTGATGTGTTGATCTCAATTATTATAATTATATAATTAGTTATGAGTAGATGATGTTTGAAATAAATCGCTTCAATATTGAGTCACTCGATAGTGAATAATTTACTTAAATTTAAATATTTTACATAGTGATATGTATATAAATTCTTATTAGAATAAATATTTTTTTTTCTAAAATATTTTCTTTTTCGAATACTTTAAATATGAATATTATTTAATATTACATAATTTAACTTAACTTTATGTTGTTCTCGTATGACATTGGGACATTACAAATCTTGGACGAAAATGGTTAAAATTAAAGAATATATATATATATATATATATATATATAATATTTTTTAAGATTAAATAATTTTCTTTAATTTTAAATAATTTATACACGTTAAATTTATATTAAAAATTATATTTTATTCAAAAATATTTTTTATAAAAAAAAAAACAGAAAAAACTGCCATCTTCATAAATACTATTACTTAATAAAAATAAAAAGCATTTAAAATGTGTGTAGTTGGATTTGGAATAGAAAAATGAACAGATATTTGTGTTTCCCATATTGGTTTTTCTGGAACAAACTCAGTCCTATAATTGTAGGGATTGATGGGGGAAAGTTACTTAGTATTACCATTTAGGATTTGGCATGGCCAAGTGAATCCACATATAAATATGGCAATTCTCAATGTTTGAAAATAATAACTTTACATGCAATGTTTGAAAATAATATCTTTACATGCAATGCTTATAAAATATCATCTAACTTATTCTTTTAGCAAAATCTTTTTATTATGAAGTTGCAAAAGAATATTCTTTCCAATATGGATTTTCTAGCATAATTATCGTTCTGAAAACATCAATCCAAAAATGATTTTTCACATGTAAGTTTCTTAAGTTTTGGATTCACTCCTCGGAAGCTTTTTTTAAATAAGTTTTTCAAAAAAATTCCAAATTGATTCTTCTATAAACTTTTCAGAAATATTCTGAAATGTTTCTGAAAATGTTATTTTGAAATGTTTTCAAAAATGTCAATCCAAGATATTTCGAAACAACTTCTAAGAGAGTGAAACTGAAACTGTCTGAAAAAATAAAAATAAAAAATAAAAAAAATTCAAGAAGGCACTTAAAGCAATTCGCCGAATATGGTGAGGGACTTTAATAAAATGCCCAACTTTTAATAAGATTAGGCCCAATTAAAAAACATAAACATGATCAAGTTATCAGTGTTTTTAAGAAAATTAATTAAATTTTATTAAAAATCACATAATTTAATGAGTTCCATATCTCATTTAAACTTTGAAAAATAATAGATAGGCTATATGGAAAAATATAAATATAAATACCATAAATAATATAATGTGATAGAAAAAGCTATATGGAAAAATGATGTGAGTTAGAGCTTTAAATAATGTATATTTATAGATAATTACTTAGCATATCTTGCTTTTGAATTTTTAATAAACTTTAACTAATAATTTATTTCAGTCCTTAAAAAAGGTTAAATTCTCAAGAGAAACGTGGCCTAATTAGTTAAAAATAGAATAATAACTTACACAAAACTGAATCTAAAACAGGATTTGGAATATTCGAATCTTCCCCGTGGCCTAATTAGTTAAAAAAAAAAAGTAATAATTAAATAAGATGGGGGACAAATTTAGGAGAAAAGGAAACCATCCATCCAAAATGAACACAGTGCCACAAGTGACAGAGTTGACAAATTTCCAGTGATAATTATATGCCACAACCTCATTCAACAAAATGAATTGGGTATCCCACAGCACAAGAATGAAGTGTGTTGTAACCCAAAAATAAACAGAAAACTTTTTAATAAATACATAACTGATCTCGTTCAACAAAAAACCCGAAATCAGCTCTAGAGAGCAAATAATGTCCCCAACACAAAGGTTTTCAGCTGCTCCAGAGATTTGTAGAAAGAGACATGCTCAAAGTTAATCACAACAAAGGCATGGGTCACGCCGTCCCTGCTGGTTATATTAGTTCGAAAAACAGTATCAAAATCATAATTAACCAAAAAATGGGTGAACACAAAATTTAGGGAAGAAACAGTGCATTAGAAGCAGCAGAGCGCAATGAAAAACATTTGTAAATGAAAAAATATGACCATAAGCTGTAACAGAGCGCAACAGTATTTCATTCACATCACATGGACCTTTCTAGTTAAACAATCTATTTCATACCCAATGGACGAACTCTCCGTAAATCCACTTTCAAAAAAATTTTGCTTTTACTAGTCGGATCCAACCACTACCTCTACCAACAAGGGTAGATAAAACTAAATGGTTAAGTTACAAGCAACAGATAAGACTGATGTACTTGATTATGAATCAAGTTTCCATGCCCAGTAATATGAAGGAACACTCAACTATGATCTACCTGCCAGTTTGATCACGTTAGCACTGACAGTTGATATCTTAAAATCCCCAAACAGCTCACTTCAGCCAATGCAGAACTACAAAGAAAAAAGAGGTAAATGAGTGCACAATCACCAAAAAAAGAAAACATCAATTTCACTCTTGACATTGAAAATATGAAATCCAGTACAGAAATGAATAAATAACTTTTTTTATACAACTCGTTTTTGGCACAGGTAGTTGAAGACACTTTCATGAGCATCAAGCAAGATGGGCAATGCCATTTAAGCCAATTAAATCATGAAAACAGAGTAAGTATACTAATTACCAACTTTAGCCATAAATTATACTTTTGGGAGCTCATCATTAGGTAGCACAATGCCCGTCAGCAAGAACAACTTCCATCATCCTCAGCAACACCAAAACTGTTTGTCCATTTCTGTTAGGTTTTACCATTTCCAAAAAGAACAATGACAACATAACTAGCAAAAGGTCACATCCCAAATGTTCTGTTGTAAAGATCCCCAGAATTTGGCATCCGAAATTTTGAATCATCATATCCCGAGTAAAATTTATTGAACCCTAGTCTTTCATTTCTCAGAAGCTCGGCCACACCCAAACCATTTCCACTCTGCACTTCATTCCACCCATCCCATTGCCCATTTGACAAGACTGCATTTGTAGACTGCTGCATAGACAGTTGTTGGAATGGGCCTAGATTACTGACTTTTGATTGATCTAATCTTGAAGAAACAGCATAAGAATCGCCAAGTTGAGAAAAAGCATTCCCAATTTCAGAAAATCTATGGTTTTGTTGCGGTGACAGAGATCTTTGCATCAATAATTGTAGTCTGGCATCATTTTCAAAGTAATTTAATTGTGGCATGAAATTAGATCGAATGTCCAGTGCCGGGCTGTTCAGTGCACCTTGAAGTCTCCCTTTGCCAACTGCCAAAATAGCAGGGTCCATATATTCAATGTCCCCAGCACCACCAAGGTTTCCAGCAGAAGGTGACTGACATGAATTTCTCAAAAGGGAAGAATGGTCAAGCAAAGAATTCCCTGACAAAAGGACTAACAAATTCAACAAATTTATTAAAAAAAAGGGTATGTAGATAAAAAGAAACCATAACTAACCAGAAATGGAATCAAAAGCCTGCTCCACTCTCTCATGGGAAGAAAAACCAGGTGGTGGTGGCCTGCTTGGAATGGAAAATCCTGGTGGGGCTGAAACTTGTGCTCTTGAAATGGCTGTAAACAAAAGCAAGATCATTGCGTTTGATGAATACAAAAATCTGAGACACCGGTGGTCAATATAACACAATGCCATGCATAAATTCAGAGGAAGGTAAGCATGTGCCGGGTTATGCATACTTAATCATTAGCTAAAACTTAAATTTTCTAACCTTTAAAGAGGCAATCAAGCAACAGAACCAGCAGTTGTTAACCAATTTTGAACAGCAGACATAATTTTCAATCAAAACCAGCAATCAATAAATCAAGAGTATTGAAAATTCAAGTTGTTCAGTTACTTTTCTCACACTACATTTTAAACAAATTGTTATTCAGTCAAGACCATACTGAAGAGACAATTTTTACTATTCTACACATACAATACAATATTAGATTTTTTAAAGGAGCAAAATAGGCTGTAAAGTTCCCTTCCAGCTTAAGACCTTCACTATTCAATTAATTTACTCTTCTAAAAAAGTGGCTTTACAATTTTCACAAAGCAAGGTTAACAGTAAACTCAATATGTTAAAACCTGCAGTCTGATTATAATTTTTCAAACAAACTATATGAAATAAGTTGAGTTAAAAATTCAGCCACAAGTTACCAAGCTTTTCAGAATGATTGTATACAATCTCAATATGGAGTCATTAGCTTGATCAGCTTACGAGTTGAAGACATCATAAACGAAAACATTGTCAAAAAGTCAACACCAAGATACAACTCTTTCCACATACACCAATGGAAGATCTTCAAAGCACAGTTGTACAATCAAATGCCACAAACAGCACATAAATAAGCAGGTTGCAAACGGCAAATCATACATAGGTCGCAGGAATTCAGAAAATTGAGGAAGCCACAAAATTTAAA